TGCTAGCATGTGTGCTGCTGCTGAGACTCCTACGTCCACTGCTGCTGGTGGCCTATTTGCTGCTGCTGCCAACACTGCCATCTCCGCTTTTGCTGGAAGCCCCTGTGCTACTACTGAGACTCCAACTTCCACTGCTGCTGACAGCCTTCTTGCTGCTGAGACTCCCACCTTCACTGTGATGCTGCCAAGACTCCCACCTCCACTGCTGCTGGTGGCCGCCCCTCTGATGCTGCCGAGACTCCCACCTCCACTGCAGCTGGTGGCCGCCCCTCTGATGCTGCCGAGACTCCCACCTCCACTGCAGCTGGTGGCCGCCCCTGTGATGCTGCCGAGACTCCCACCTCCACTGCAGCTGGTGGCTGCCCCTGTGATGCTGCCGAGACTCCCACCTCCACTGCAGCTGGTGGCCGCCCCTGTGATGCTGCCGAGACTCCCACCTCCACTGCAGCTGGTGGCCGCCCCTGTGGTGCAGCTGAGACTCCCACCTCCACTGCAGCTGGTGGCTCCTGTGCTGCTACCTGTGCTCCTAAAGCTTCCAGTGGGAGATCAAGCTGGCCTGCTTGGAGTCCATCTGGCACAGTTATATTAGTCCAGCCTACATTTCAGAACAACAACAAAAAAATTCAGTGATTGATACTTACCATATCTAATGGGGGGGAAAGGGGGCAATATGGCAAATATATAAAATCACAAGCCTTTTTTCACAATACTTGACATCAATGCATCAATTAATCAACCTTTATTTAAACGTGGAATACACTGTGGGAGACCCTCATTTACTATGTAGCTGAGCCAATACAGAAATCATTAAGAAATTGAGAAATTGGATAGTAAAAACATATCAAATGTTAAAAAAGTAATAACAATAGCACAAAAAATACATATTAAAAAATAAAATAAAAAAACGTTAAAATGTCAATATAGTAACTTAGTAAATAAAAAAAACAAATAATAATAAAGTAAATAAAAAATTAATGAAACAGAGAAAGAGAGAACGTAAGATGATAAATTGACAATAATATACAAAAAAGAACAATGAAAAAATAATACAAAGAATAATAAAATTACAGTAAAACAATTGTAGGCTGAGTGGAGACTAAAGGTTTGAAATGTTCATGTGACACCAGCGAGAGAAGCTTTAGAGTTTCCTGTAATGAATTCCAGCTCACTGGTGCTGTAGCTAAAAGCAGATTTTCCCAGTTCAGTAAAAGGTTTTGGCACCTGAAAGGTAATACAGTCACTGGAACAAGTCTTTCAAAATGCATTATGATGTACGATGGCATATAGCCAGTAAATGCTTTATAGACAAAAAGAAGCCAATGTGTCTCCCAATGCACAGCCAACCTTTTCATATAGCATACAGTAATGCATATAGTAGGGGTCATCAGTAATGATCTTAAGGCAGAATGGTATATAGAATCTAGAGATTTCAGAGTAGCTGAATATCGAATCATGTATATTTGTGTATATCACATCGCCATAATCCAGGGTAGACAATAATGTTGCTTCGACAATTATTTCCTTGTGTGCTTTGGGGAAACAAAGTATGTTTTGGTAGAGGGAACCAAGTTTTTGCCTCAGTTGACATGTGAACTTGTTAAAATGGTGTTTAAAAATGCATTTGTCATCTAGCCATATGCCAAAGTTTTTGTACTCACTAACTGTTTCAATGTCAGATCCCTTCAGGGTTGTGATTTTAAAAGTGTTAAAATCAATGTTAGAGGCTCTGGAAAACAGCATAAATGTATTTAGTTATTTTTTGTGTTTTTTTATAAACTGATCAGGCATAACATTATGACCACCTCCTTGTTTCTAGGCTCATTGTCCATTTTATCAGCTTCACTTACTATATAGGTGCACTTTGTAGTTCTACAACTACAGACTGTAGTCCATTCGTATTTCTACATACTTTGTTAGCCCCCTTTTACCCTGTTCTTCAGTGGTCAGGACCCCCATGGACCCTCACAGATCAGGTACTATTTGGGTGGTGGATCATTCTCAGCACTGTAGTAACACTGACGTGGAGATACAAGGTTTTGTTCCGACAGCAGCAATATACATACATATATATACATATCACAGTATTTGATTTTTACAATAATCTCAAAAACTAGAATAACGTTTTTTATGCTGCACTACAGTAAATCCAGTTAAAAGAACTAATTATATATTTATTATATCATCATATTACCCATCCCTATATCTAATATCAGACACTTACAGCAGAACATTCTTACCTTGAATTACGATGTCAAACAGAGACTACATTCTTTTTAAACATGCAGATGATGTCTCTGTAAGCTGGGACCTAGGTGACAGACTTTCTGACACCCATGTGCCAGGCTTCCTTCCAGGCCTTGACATAAATATGACTGCTCTTATTCCAAGTGCCTGCAATTTCTCAAGCTAAAAAAAATAAACAAATTTAACAATAATAAACTACTTGTTCAACTACAATGACAATTTATACATTATTATTTAGAGCTTGGACATTGTACCACATGATGACAATAAAAATGAATAACATACCAAGAGCGAAGCTTCATCCTTTATGTGTGATGCTGTATGATTTTTTTGTGTGTGTCTGAACCCATTGTCTGCATTTCGTGTCAAATTTTTGCACCTTTTTATTTAACCTTACTTTAAATTGCTGTTTCGTATTACATGACCGGCACACTTTGCAGGCTATATTTATTGGAGTGTGGCAAGCCACACACCTCTTTAGAGTAGTTCCTTTCTACAAGAAATCAGTATTAGAGAGAGAGAGAGAGAGAGAGAGAGAGAGAGAGAGAGAGACATTAGAAACATCAATATTTTCAAACAAATGTTGCTTAAACGGTGTGTTTAATCTATAAGTATCAAATCAGTCACACATTGATGCGTCTTACCGAAGCAAGAAGCTACAGGAAACCAACAGCATCACATTCGCCACCGCTACTGCCGCCGTCGACATGTCGTCATCATACGGGTATTTTTCCAATTTCCAGCAGACTGCAGTAGCGTGTGCATTTCACGCTTCAGGCACACAAAAACGTGACACGATTATACGGTGCCCCAAGTGGACCAATGTGTGTATTACACACTGGGGCGTGATACCGGGTTGCAAATAAGCCGTTCCAGAGAAAACAACTCAGAATTGTTCATAATATTGGTGATAGGAACCAGACGTCTGAACTTTAATGCCTTTAAAGCTCCATCACTGAATGTTATCGCGCACATATATGTTGCCTGATGTCTGAAACATTGCTTTACGATAGTCGTGAGATACAGTTTTAGGTTGAAATGTATTTTTGAATCACATTAATGGCAGAGAGGAATATGCAGGACATTGTAAGGCAAATTTGTCCCCATATGACTCTTTTTTCAGGTGTACCACTGTTTTATCATCATCAAAATTACATGTGAAAAGTAAAGACGTGGAGGTTCACTGGTGGGTTTAGATAGTAAATAAAATGGCTATGTTTGTGTTGTAGACATGGTGACCCCTGGTTCTCATCACCACCACTGCAAAGACAATTCAGTAACTTTTTCTACAATTAATTATTTCTCATCAGACCACTCTGAATGAAATCATCTAACAGGTTGACTGAAATGACAGTACTGAGTGTAATGTGAGGGTATCAGTTTGGTTCTCTGTACCTTTAGTGAAGAACACACTGACGAGCACCAGAACCACTTTCATTTCTATCACTGGATGATCTGAGACGTTGGTGTAAAAACAAGGAAGAACACAGTCTCATATAAGACTCTAAAAGGGGCTGGGCTTCCTGGAAACTGGAAACCCACCCCCACCACCTGATGAACATTTTAGTACAGTGGTCTAATGGCAGGAGAACAATAACAAAACTATATATATAGTAGCCTTTTGAACAATTTGAGCTCTATAAATTTTCTCCCTAAATTTGCAAAGTCTAACAAGCAAAATAAGGTTGTGCTAACAAGAGGCAGTGCTTTGACAAGAAGGCTGTACTCTGTAGATGCTATTTCTGGGGCATTATTTTGATCATTGATGACAACTGGATATTGTATAAAGTCATATAACATTAATACTGTGTTATTGTGCTGTTCTGTCTTAAATATCTGCTGTTGTAAAGTTGCACTTAAGGTTGGTGTTATCATTACATCATTACTTAAGACTTAATTAATTGTGATTAAAGACACACACATTTAGGTGAATGTGTTTATAATTGCAGTGTTCTGTTTGAAGCGTATTGTTGTGTGTAAAGTTGCATTTTAGCTTGCGTTGCCTGCAAGACAAGCAATAATGTATTGATAGCTGTGCAGTTTTAGAGAAGTATTTAGTCTATTTTTTACTACTCTGCTTTATTTTGTCTACAGTCTTGTTTTATTACTTCATATTCAGTGTTTTTCTATAGTGGTAAAGCAGATGTGTATTTTAGTTGATCCTGACATGCCTGTGCATCTGATATACCATAATAAAGTCACTGTATTTTTTTTTTACTTTATTATTATTGTCATGGTAGTCATTGTCTTGACCAGGTGTTTAAATAGATGGAACATTAATAATTGTAGCTGAAGTTTAATTTGTGAAAATTAACATTTAAAATTGTACATTAATAAATGCTCTGTGATATAATTAAGCTGCTGTATCTAATAAACAATGAGTGACTATTTGGAAATACATCAGAATTTATTAGCTTTACTGAAGTTATTTAACAATCTACATAATGAAATAGCATGAACATGATTCAATTTAGTTAAAATTACACTTTAAGGAAATGTTTCAAAATATAATTAAGCTGACAAAACTTACAAGCAATGAGTAAATGTCATCAGAAAGGCATCAGATTTGAGTTGTTTTAACTAAAAAAGTTTTATTTATAACAATCTGCATCATTTTCCCTGTAGAAAGTAGAAAGAACATGATTCATTTTAGTTAAAGTTCCTGAAGTTATTGAAGTAAATCCTGCAAAATTTAGTTAAGTTGACATTGCTTATAGGTAATGAGTAAATGTTACTCAAGTTATATATCTGAATGTAGATAATTTAATTTCGTGCAACACTTTGACGAAAAAAAAAAATTAAGTAAATTCAAAGAGTCATTTTTTGAGTAAAGAAGCTTCTCTGTAGCCTGGATGTCCTGATCCTCATCTGGCTGAAGCGCCGGCCTGAGGGAAGGAGCTGAAACAGGTGGTGTCCGGGGTGGAATGAGTCAGCAGAGATCTTCCCTACATGCTTCCTGGTTCTGGAGGCATGCAGATCCAGCAATGTGGGTATCTTAACCCAATTGTCCTCTCTGCAGATCTGATGATGCGCTGCAGTCTGTGGAGGTCATGCTTGGTGGCTGAGCTACGCCACACTGTGATGGACGTGGTGATGACAGACTCTGTGATGGCTGTGTAGAACCGCACCATCAGATCAGGTTGAACTTCCTGAGCTGACGCTGGAAGTATATCCTCTGCTGGGCTCTCTTGATGATGGCGCTGATGTTTAAATATGTTTAATGTTTAAAGATGTTTAAATTTCTACAATAGGAGAGTGTTTACACTGCATCTGCACAGGAAAAGCCACCTTTCCCAACATTTAGCTGCAGTAGGTGGTAATCAAGGTTCTGGCTTTAAACCACTGTGTAGTGAGACAGTATTTAGACAGTGAATGCATTATTTATACTGCACTGTTAGAAATAAAGGCTCCATGCAGGTACATTTTTCATTCATCCAGGCAGGTACAGCAGTGGGTTTAAGGTCCAATTATGCACCTTAAATAAGTTCTTCCACGGTGAAAAATAGGTATTGGTACCTTTTCATAACCTGTTTTAAAACAGAACATTAAAATAAAAAGCCTGGAGACGAGACGGGGTGTGGAGTCAACACAACTTAGAAAATATCAGATCAATGGATTATGGAACAATTATGTTCCCTGACTAAAGGGACTGAGATGTACCCTTGAGGGTCTCACCCCAGTGACAGTTTCATAGCTTTATTTCGGACAGTGTGACCATTTAGTTGTTTAAAAGTTCTGTGTCTCTGTACACAGTGAATTATTGGTCTATTGTGTTTACTTAAGCATTCAATAACCTTTTTTTCAGATCAATTCATTGAAAATAATTACAAATATTTCTCGCGTGGGGTGGAGAGGTGTGTGGAGGGGGGTAGTTTTTTCAGGCCCCTAAATGTTCAGAAATGGTCCAGAGTCTCTTATCTTACCTTCATCAGGAATAGGATCTTCTCCAGGAGGCCCAGGATGACATGGAGGCTACCAATGCAGGGCAGATGACGTTATGTATGAAAGAGTTACAAATACTCTCGCTGAATTTATGAGAATGATGTGAATGTGGTCTTATTCACTTCTCTCAGCAGCAGAGGGGGCTGTAGAGTCAGAAGTATCTCACAGAGCTTAATTCTGAAAAACTGAAACTTTAATTAGAGATTAGAGAAATCAGAAATTAGGATTACAACAACATCAGTCTTTACACAATGTATTGGGTTTATTACACTATTTATTACACACAGCAGTAGGATGTTTTATGCAACACATTAAACTGATCACTTAAAGGCCCAGATAAGAAGCACCTGAAGATAAAGTCTGAATATACAGTAAAGATATTAATCAGTAAGCTGGACAGCAGTGGAGATGCAGACATTTAAAATCTCTACTAAAACTGCTGTATTTGTTTCAGTATTTCCTGAAAAGGGCTTGAAATAGTTCAGAGGAAGTTCAGAGGAAGAGGATGGAGGTCAGCAGAGACCCCAGCATGATGAGGAGACCCAGACTAATACTGATAGCAGTGTTACACAGGTTCCCCTCACAGCACTTAATATCCGCAGTGATGTTGAATTGTTGAGAGATGGACACGAGCCCATCACAGATGCTCTTGCTTGCACATCCTTGCAAAGATGCCTTACTAAATAATGGGACAAAGGGAACAAAGGGAACTGAGAGAGAGAGAGAGAGAGAGAGAGAGAGAGAGAGAGAGAGAGAGAGACTGACTAGTCAAACACAATTACAGGAACATAAACATTTGGATTAGACATACTATTTTTTTATTTGTCTGTACCCTCTTTCTGCAGACCAGTTAGTGGTTTGGATTGTCTTGGATATTTTTAATCAATATATTAAATAATATATTGTCTTTTAATGTTATTATGTATGATAGATGATGAAAAGCAAAAGTTCTTTGCTATTTTATGTTGAGAAACGTTATTATTGAATTGTTGCACGATTTAATTGTGCAGTCTTTCACAGAGTGGTGAACCCCTCCTCATCTTTACTTCTGAGAGGCTCAGAATGTTTTTTATACCCAGTCATGTTACTGACCTGTTGCCAATTAACCACCAGGGTTTTTTTTGGTATTACACAACTTTACCAGCCTTTTGTTGCCCCCATTCGAACTTTTTTGGAACATGCTGTTGGCATCAAATTCAAAATGGGCATTAATGTCTCAGTTTCAACATTTGATATGTTGTCTTTGAAGCATTTTCAATGAAATATAGGGTTTGAATGATTTGCACATCATTGCAATTTGTTTTTATTTACATTTTTTACAGCATCCCAACTTTTTTGGAAATGAGGTTGTAAAACATACACAAATATATAGCAGTTGCCATGCAACTCTCACCCCCACACCTTCCCCTCTGCTTTTCTGCCTTTCATTTCCTCCACCTTAAGTTATTTGATTATGTGCACAGCCCCTTGGTCATTTCTTCTGTAAGGCCCTTCTTCAGCTGACAGATTTAGACTCAGATCAGACATGTTTCACTCAGATTTCATGTCAGATGGTATGATAGTATTAATTTAAATATGATATTATAACCCCATTATAAGAGCTTGTAAGATGTATTTATTAGCTTTAAGTAAAGAAACATATTTTGAGTAAATGAGACATATTTTATGCTAAAGGCTCCTCCAATATTATGAGGCTTCCTGTAGAAGGATTTACTGAAGGATTCTCTAAAAATCAATGTTAGCTTGGCGCTAACATAACACTGCATATTTTATAGAAATAGCCCTACTGTAGTGATGATAATCAGCCAAACAAAGGCTACATACAAAGTGAAGGTTATTAGTGGTTCATGTTGGAACCAGTGAGGGAGAAAATAGCGATGATGGCTCTACTAACTTGCCTCAGACTCTCCACAGTAACTTCATGCTGAGTGTGATGTCAGAGGGGGCTTTAGGGGAGGGTCTGATGGGTACTTGGCTTGCTGTGATGTAATTTTTAAAGTGAGCTTAGTGGTTATAGAAAAAAGCACATTCCATTAATAAATCTGTGCTGGACAAGTTATTCTGGCCTGGCATCAAAATCTTCAGGGCTTAAATTTCCAGGAAATACAGAATAAAATATTAAAAATGTTTGTATGATACTAAACTTCACGGTTATATTAAACATCCAGCAAAGCTTGAATGACAAAAAGATATAAATCTGATAAAACACGGCTTAAAAACACTGATTAGACCTGTCTGAGAACTGTGTGGGCGTGGTTAATGAGCAGCTTGATTGACAGCTCTCTGTTCAACATTCAGCTCCGCTACTCATACAGAACTAAAATCATTATCCATCCAAGGATGAACAGATGTGCAGATGGACGAATGGACAAACAAACAGGCGGATAAAACACTTTGTGGAGGAACAGATGAATATACATGCAGACAGATGGATGAATGAAGCAACGCATGAATGTCCGTGTGTGGATAAACTAATGAAGGGGTGACAGGCAGCTACAGACAGGTGGTCTAGCTTGCTAGCTTTTGGTTATGCTGGGTTAGCTTTAGCTCACTAAGTTTCTCTGACACTGAAACTGTTTTGTGTGGGTGGGGCAAGAGACATGAGCATTGTGATTGGTCAAGGTAATGCTAATGGAGGTGTTACCCAAGATTAGGCCTAGTTTACATAGAGAGGAGAGAAATATGGTGAAATATGTATCGGTCATTTAATGGTCACTTGGACTTTGAGAACAAGATTAACCTAATTAGAAAAAAAAACAACAGATTTAGGTTCCTGGGGCCTTTGAAGGCTGAAGGCCCAGCCCTAACAAAGCCCATACTGAGAAATAAAATATTATAAATGGCATGAGATACATAAACTTATGTCTCCTTTACTTAGAGCTGACAAATATAACTTACAAGCTCATACAGTGGGGCTATAATATCATACGTCTATCAATAACAATCTATACCCTCAATGACGAGTAAACTCTGTGTGTGTTTATAGGTATAAGCAGGTTAGTGAGTCATACTGCACTCTGCATGCTGGGGCTGACTTCTTTGGCATGGACAGTATGACGTGTTATGATCAATACATTTAAAGTATTATGTTAACAATTCATAATGCATGATAAACATGGCATTCCTTTTTATGAATATTACAAGTCATGTATATAATGTCTTATGAATGCATTAAAACATGTTATGATTGTGTTTAAAGATGCTTATAGACCTGGCGTTCATAGAAAGTGTTACCATTTATTCCATCAATGTTATTGAAGAAGAAAGGCATAATTCTGTCGATTCAATTCACAGTTACAGTAAAAAAGGTATTTTCCTCACCTGATCCATTAATGCAGTGATCCTCATCTCCCACACACTTCACAGTTTCTGAGCAGTCGTTATTGGTACAACACTTCTTTCCATTGGGAGCCTGGTTCGGTAAAACTTAAAGCAAATAAACAACTAAATTAAACAAGCCAGCGAGGATAAGTTTGCAAAACGTTTGTGGTAAGCTGGGTCTAAAGTACCCAGTACAGACCACTGTAGACTTTTTGCAATCATTTACTATATTATTTTTTAAGCAATGTACAAATTCAGGCAGTACAATAAACAATAAAATAAACACAAGAAATGAATCAGTGCTAAAAAAAATTATATAAAAAAGAAGACTCATTACACACACACACACACACACACACACACACACACACACACACACACACACATACACACACAGTCGCTTATCCTTCTGGGCCATGGGAAGAGCTGGAGCCTATCCCAGCCATCAAAGGGTGGAAGCACCCTGGACATGTTGCCAGTCCATCGCAGGGCAAGACCCATTACAGTAAATTCATAAATCTTTAACAAATACAGCCTTTCTGGCTTTAATATGTCTACAGTGTTCCTGAGTGCTGTTGTTGTTAAGATGTAAGATACGCAATAAACACTGTACAGTTTGATCTTTGATTGCCAAACAGGCTTGAATGAATATGACATTTTGATAACAATAATAGAAGATTGACGATGCACGTTTTATTAGAACTTACTTTATAATGTTTAGATATTCCAAATTACATATGCTATTTTTTGTTTTTTATTAATGACAATTTCGATATATTAGTTTATGATATTATTTTAGTCAGTCTAAAATCCACAACAGTATCCACATTGCCAAAGTAAGCAGACAATATGATCCTTTATGTGGCCGCTGCACAAAAAAGTCACAGGTCTGTAACAGAAGAATAGTGTGGTGGGTAACACCTCAGCCCTACACACTGCAGACTCAGGACCCTGGCTTAGTGAACACTTTATGCTACACCAGTCATGAGAAAAACCCCTAATACTACCTTCACCTTCCTCTGTGAAATGATCAAACTGTAAGTCGCTCTGGATAAATCTGACTGTACCTGGCAGTGCTTTGTCATTGCAGAGATCAGTCTTGCAGCATTTGGAGTTGATGGTCGCTCTCAGAAACCCTGCATTTATTCCACCTGTGACACAAAAGACTGACAGCAGGCAAGTCCTCACACTGTGTTCCACCTGTACGCCACCTGCAGATGAACACATGACTTAGTGGATATCAGTTTTGCATCTGTTAGGAGTTTTAATCTGAGTTAAAAGTCACTCTTACCCAGGCTAAAGGTGGCAGTGACGCTGTTACAGTCATATGGACATTCCATTCTAGGACAAGTCTGAGGAGACTCCTCTATGCATTGGTAACATTGCAGTGCTAGTCCTAGAGGACAACGAGAATTCAGTGTGAAAAATAAAGACCTGACCACCCAGAGAAACGGTCAAAACAATTTACATTAAAATGCAAGTCCTCACCAAAACAACAGTAAAGAGGAATTTCAGAGAATTCTAAAAATGTCTGTATAAATATCTGTGGTTAATGTTTAATGGCATTCAGAGTGGTTTGACCATTCCAGAGAAAACAACTCAGAATTGTTCATAACATTGGTGATAAGAACCAGCCGTCTTTAATGCCTTTAAAGCTCCATCACTGAATGTTATCGCGCACATATATGTTGCCTGATGTCTGAAACATTGCTTTACGATAGTCGTGAGATACAGTTTTGGTTTGAAATATATTTTTGAATCACATTAATGGCAGAGAGGAATATGCAGGACATTGTAAGGCAAATTCGTCCCCAAATGACCCTTTTTTCAGGTGTACCACTGTTTTATCATCATCAAAATTACATGTAAAAACTAAAGACATGTAGGTTCACTGGTGGGTTTAGATAGTAAATAAAATGGCTATATTTGTGTTGTAGACATGGTGACCCCTGGTTCTCATCACCACCACTGTAAAGACAATTCAGTAACTTTTTCTACAATTAATTATTTCTCATCAGACCACTCTGAATGAAATCATCTAACAGGTTGACTGAAATGACAGTACTGAGTGTAATATGAGGGTATAAATTTGGTTCTCTGTACCTTTAGTGAAGAACACACTGACGAGCACCAGAACCACTTCCATTTCTACCACTGGATGGATCTGAGATATTGGTGTAAAAACAAGGAAGAACACAGTCTCATATAAGACTCGAAAAGGGGCTGGGCTTCCTGGAAACTGGAACCCACCCCCACCTGATGAACATTTTAGTACAGTGGTTTAATGGCAGGAGAACAATAAGAAAACTATATATATATATATATATATATATATATATATATATATATATATATATATAAAAGATATATAATATATGTATATATATATCAAAGTTCATTCCATGTATATCAATCTTTGTTCTACTGAGATATATATGGAATGAACTTTGATATATATTGTTGAACATTGATATATATTGAATGAAAATTTATATATATTGAATAAAGCTTGATGTACATGGATCGAACATTGAGATGAAAAAATGATATATATATAAAATATAATATAATTCATAAAATATTTTGTTTAGACAGAGAGGGACTTTTGGTGTTGTGTGTGTTGTAGCCTTGCACCTCCCCCCCCACCCCCCCACCCCCAAAACAGACTGTTTACATTGTTATTTAATGTTGCTATGTTGTTGTTCCTCAGTTACAGTGTGTGTTTGTGTTTGCTCTGTTATTTTGTGTCCAGCTCAGAGTTAGGGAGAGTGTGTTTGTGTTTGGTGACCATCAGAAGAAAGAGTAGGGCTAGGAGTGACCTACCTCAATTTTCAGTTGCTTTTCGAGTGGCACTGTTTTCTCTTGCTCTCAATAAAAGAGCATTTTTCAAACAGAAGTTATGGCCTCATCTGACTCTTCTTCTGCACCATGTCAAATTATGTATATATTGAAACTCCACCCATCTGTGTCTTCACATCATATATCAGCCACTCTCAGGTCACTCTGTCCACAGGATCAATGTATATAGATACTGGTCACTTTATCAGAATTCCCTTCCTTTGTTAATGCCCATTTATTGATGTATAGTATTTTCTTGGCCATCCTCAACTCTTCAACAGCAACTTTCATTCAACATATGTCAGTGTTCATTGTATATATATCAAAGTTCATTCCATATATATCAATGTTCATTAAATATTTCCTGTTTGGCTTGCCATAATATATATATATATATACATATATATATATATATATATATATATATATATATATATATATACACACTCCATATATATATAATGTACTAAAAATAGAGTTTATTTCAAAACCACTTAATTTCAAATTTTCTTCAGTGTGGAGGTTCTGAATACTGACAATCTCACAGCTTTTATTCCATAGACTTCCATTCACAGTTCAAGCCCTACTTGATCAATGAAAGTGAAGTGATTTTGACATTTAAATTATTTAAAATACTGTTTAAATACATTTATTTTAATTTAGATTGTTTTATTTGAACTAAAAAATTGTCAAATTCATTCACTTTAGGCTGAATTGACAAACCATTCTATACAGTGTATAGTTTACAAGCTGGAAACACAAAAGGTGTTGGTATACATAGTTGGTATTCAGTACTGTACAAACGTCAGAGACCACCGCTTCATTTATTTAATTTCAGAAACAGCCATGATGCACACATTATTTATTTTTCAGAGAAATCTATCAGAGAAATTCAAAGAAACCTGCAGGGATGTTTCAATTTTTCAGTCTCAGAAGATGGTTTGGATTTTCTGCTTCTCAGGAGTCCTTAACCTCTGACTCTTAAACCAACCACTTTTATGGTTTCCTGTTCAGTTGAGATGCTGTGTACTTAATAAAGTGTCCAAATAGAGTTTGTGCAAGTAGACGCAACTGGTTCAGACCGGTTGTGTGGTTAGGTGGTGTAGAGACCTTCTTTCAGTGTTTTCTGAAGGCTTACTTGACCTACTGAAAGAATGAATGTAGACAAATGTACCATCTTCTGCTATTTAACCAACGGTAATATAAAATCACTACAATCATTATGCAGTGGAGGCTGTATTGTTTGTCACAGTGCAGACTATGTGCTTGTGTTTGTTAGTGTTGTCTATAATATTTGTCAGCAGGTCACTGAGTATATATGAATATAATTGGGTGGAATTATTGCAGATTAGAGAAGAATCACAAGCTGCTCTGGTCTCACACAGCATCTCAACCAAAGAAGAACGGTTTCCTTTCTAGATGATGGGATTAAATGAAGTTCTCCCTTTTCTTTGTCTTCTCCATTTTCTTCTTCTTCTTCTTCTTCCTTTTGTTTATAAGTAATTAACAATCAATTATAATTCTGGTAGGAAAGTCTGTCACACTCTCAGAAAAAAGGAGTCCCACTTTATATTAATGCCTCTAATAACTGTGTAATTACACATTAACAATACAATAATAAATAATAAACTACACAAAAAATGAATAAGTGCTATCTGGCTCCAATATTTTTACAGTATTACTGAGTGTCCATATAAGGTGTTAGATTTGCCATAAATACAGTAACATCTGACATTTGATTGCCAAACATTCTTCAATGAGTATGAAATTTTGATACTATTAAGAGAAATTTGACAATATATGTTTTAGTAGAACTTTTTTTTTAGAAATTCCAAATATGCCTTTACTTAATAACAATATCAGTATTTTGGTTTATGAAATTGTTTAATGATGATGGTAATGGTAATCGCTATAATATATCTGTGCCATTTCTTGGTGAGGAGAGGGGCAACGCTACACGTTTGATGCCGACCAATTATCATTCATTGTTGTGTAAGTTCATAGGTCTTTGAGGAGGATGGTCAATGAAGTGTCAATCAGAAGTCCTCTGTATGATGCTGGTGGTTTTGTGTTTTGAAAAGAAAATAAAAAGAAAGAAAAAACGATTGTAGACCTGTTTCTGGGTGTCATGAAGAGAACAGTATGGGTTGTCTAGAACTTGCGGTAATGAATGTTTTAACATATCAAGAACATTACATAAATGTAGGTAGCTAGCTACCCTGCTAATGTAAACAGACACTGTAAATGCTGCTTCTCACCAACATGTATCTCTTTGGAGTCTGTTGTGGTTCTCCTTTGAGGAAGCATTGAAAAGCCAGGGGGATTGTTCCCATAGCTCAACTAACGGTTCCTCTGTTTAGTTGTTCCATCTGACAGCTGCAACAGCAGCATCCCTTTTTCTCTTCACCGTGTTTATGTATGTGTGCCAGGCAGCACCCTGCCATTCTATTGGTGAATGTCAAGGTATGTGTGATAGGAGATGTCAAAATAAAAAATACAAAAAAAGCTGAAATGCTAGACTTTTCACATCAAATTATGTCAAAATCAGGCTGAATTCATGTAATCTGATCCCGGAATAAGTTAAAATCCACAACAGTATCGTCCCAAAGTAAGTGTACAATAGACTCTTCAAAGGTATTACAAAACAAGCAATCAATGTTTATTTATGTTTTTTATTAATATTTAGCAAGATTTGAGTTGGTTGGATAGAATCATTTTAATGAGCAACAGTGTATACTAGTAAAAAGATTGTTCTAGAAAAATACTGCAACTGGTTTAGAAGAAGACATTCTATGAGTAATTTTCTTAACACATTAATTAAAAAAAATGGACATACATGATGTGGGCAACATTATTGGGACACACCACTTAATCATTGAATTTCAAGTGTTTCATTCAGTCCCATTGTCACAGATGTATAAAGTCAAGCACCTAGCCATGCAGTCTGTCTTTACACACACTTCTGAAAGAATAGGTCATTCTGAAGAGCTCATTGAATCTATGCCTCTCACTGTAATAGGAGGCTACTGTTGCAACAAGTCAGTTTGTGAAATTTTGTCTCGCCTAGACATTTCACACCCCTGAGTGGTATTAATGAAAAGTGGAAGTGTTTAGGAACCACAGCAACTCAACCACAAAGTGTCAGACCAGGTAAAGTTCCAGAGCTGGTCACTGAGTGCTGAGGTGCATAGTGCATAAAGTTACCAACGCTCTGCTTACTCAGAAACTGCAGTGTTCCAAACCTCCTCTGGCATTAACAACAGCACAAAAACTTACTGTACTAAGTGTGAAGAATTGTGAAAAGGAAAAGTCAGTGTTTAAAAGGCTTGTTAGCAGTTGTAAAAATATGATGCAGCAGAAGATGATCCTTTATGTGGCTGCTGCACAAAAAAGTCACAGGACTGTAACAGAAGAATAGTGTGGTGGGTAACACCTCAGCCCTTCACACTGCAGACTCAGGACCCTGGCCTAGTGAGCACTTTATGCTACACCAGTCATGAGAAAAACACTGCCTTCACCTTCCTCTGTGAAATGGTCAAACTGTAAGTCGCTCTGAATAAAGGAGCATCTGATTGTACCTGGCAGTGCTTTGTCATTGCAGAGATCAGTCTTGCAGCATTTGGAGTTGATGGTCGCTCTCAGAAACCCTGCATTTATTCCACCTGTGACACAAAAGACTGACAGCAGGCAAGTCCTCACACTGTGTTCCACCTGTACGCCACCTGCAGATGAACACATGACTTAGTGGATATCAGTTTTGCACCTGTAAGGAGTTTTAATCTGAGTTAAAAGCCACTCTTACCCAGGCTAAAGGTGGCAGCGACGTTGTTACACTGATATGGACATTCCATTCTAGGACAAGTCTGAGGAGACTCCTCTGTGCAGTCATAACATTGCAGTGCTAGTCCTAGAGGACAAAAAGAATTCAGTGTGAAAAATAAAGACCTGACCACCCAGAGAAACGGTCAAAACGATTTACATTAAAATGCAAGTCCTCACCAAAACAACAGTAAAGAGGAATTTCAGAGAATTCTAAAAATATCTGTGTAAATATCTGTGATTAATGGTTGATGGCATTCAGAGTGGTTTGATGTCAAATAAACAACCCGGTATCACGCCCCAGTGTGTAATACACACGTTGGTCCACTTGGGGCACCGTATCAGTGTCACATTTTTGTGTGCCTGAAGCGTGAAATGCACACGCTACTGCAGTCTGCAGTTTGCTTAAGTAACATTAACGTTAGTTAGCTGTCATTTACATGCTTAAGTTATTACAAACCTTCTTGGTAATGTTTGGAATAATGCTTGGAATATTTTTCTGCCTT